TTTATTCATCCTACTAGATGAAGCTAAGGAATTTCACAGGAAAATCCTTCACTGGATTTCTTTTGCTTGGGTCCAGTTCTGTGTCATCTCCAGCCCAGCTTTTTTTTTCTTCAATATCATGTGATTAGAAAAAAGAACATAGGATACAATATCTGAGGGGTACCAACATTAGGCAGTGGTAAAACTTAGGACATTTAGGATATAGTAAGAGAGGACATTACTCAAATGAATCACTCCTGGCTGCCATATTGCACATTATTTATGCATCATTGAACAATAACTAATTTTTCAAACATTACAATCAATAACCTGATTACTATCTTGTTCAAGCCATTTGCCAATTGGCTTTCAGTCACTGCAGAACTTAATAACTTCATATTGCATAATCAAAGCTCCCAGAAAGTCTAACAGTGAAAGCTCAGCTGTTGAGAATCTTTCACACAAAATAGAAAAATGCCATGAAATGATCCCAAGAGGCCTAGTTCTTGGCCTTTTAGAGATAAAGGTGGGATGGTTGCTTTTTGGCCCAAGACTGGCTTACAGAAGGTGTCTGCAGAAGTGTTTAGGACCAAGGCATCCTCATTCCTTGTGGGGTTGGTACCTTGAGGTGCCTCTGTGGGGGGTGGGGCCTGGGGCTGCTTTGGGGGGGTGGAGGAAAAGCCAGACTGGATTTCCTCTGGAGTACGGAATGGAGGAAAACCCGGACTGGTTTTTAGCCAGAGTATGGAATGGGGGGAAAGCCGGACTTGATTTTTCCGGCGTACGGAAAGGGGGAAAACCCGGACTGGATTTCCAAAAAAAAAAAGAAAACAGTAAAAAAAAATGAAGAGTTGGACTTGATGATCTCAGAGCTCCTTTCCAACCCAGCTGATTCTATGATTATATTTCCTACTGCGATAAAGTTAACAAAATAATTGCCTTTACACACTGGTGGTGATGGAAACCATCCGAAGGAGTAGCACTGAACAGAGGCAGGTCCCACTCTTACAAATTGGTTTGCACAGGTAAATTTCACAACATCTCCATTGGGGTATTTACCCTTCTTGGGATAAAAATCTCCATTGGGCAATGTCAGCATTGCACATTCTATTACTACAAAGACAAAATATTTTAATATATAATGTACACCCTACAGAAAGTACATGAAATGCTACTGATTCGAACAAAACCAAAGAAAGTCTTAAAGAAAAAAGGTTCACAGAGTGCATACAGAGTTATGCTAATTAACAAACACAAAAATATTCACCGAGACACTCAGGTGCTGGACTCCATTCACCATTTATGCCACACCTTGTGGTATCAGTTGGCATGTTATTTGCAGTTTTATATCCTTCCAAACATGAATACTCAATTGTATCTTCAGGCATGAACACAGTTTTATTTGTATGGTGAATCAAAATGTCCTCTGGTGCTTTACATAATTCTGTAGAGTAAAACAAAGTGCATTTTGTTATCCAGAAACATTGCCCTTTGGAAGCATCATCCCCGTTGGTATATTTGAAACATTACTAATTCTGCATTGCCAGAATATTCATGTAGAATATGCAGTATGTTCACATATTATCTATTGCATTAATCTTCGGAAATATGTGTCTAGAAGTAATATTTAACATAAATACTTCTTGCTTAGGTTCAATTATTTCCTTCTGCTACATATTATTATTATTTTTGGTGTCATAGCAAATGGTTTGTACTCCTGTTCCTTGTGATCATTTGTGAGGGGTCAGAAAAGAAGCCACAAAGTCCTAGGTAAAGACAGTGTGAAATAAAAGGACAAGATAAAATGGCAGCTGAAGTTGGTCAATATTATGAGCCTCAGTATCCCAACAAGGGAAAATTAAGTCTTTTACTATACTACACCGCTGTTCAGGAGAGGAAAGAAGTTCCAAATAAAGAATCCTATTTGTTTCTAGTTTGGTTCACATTTAAAGAAAGTTCTTGGCAGAATGCCTTGGTTCACAGGCATTTCTTCATACATTGGGAGTAAATTTGGGCAAAGGTACTTTTTATCAGGTAAGAATCACCGAACACCCAGTGATTACCATTTACTTAATGCTAAGGAGATCCAAAAAGATAGGTCACCAAGAAGACACTAGATTTCCCCCACCTTACTCAATACCTTTACGTTTTCTCTCTGTATATCCTAGAGCCTGAGAATGATTAACCTCTGAAGGATGAGAGATTGGAGTCTCGGCCCAGTAAGAAAACTCCACCAATCTGGATGGCAAAACTCTGAGTCCACAGGACACCATTTCTATGACGGTGACAATGGTAGGGAGCTCTGACACGTTTAGGTACTCACTGATGCATTTTGGAGGTGGAGTCCAGTCATTTTCTTGGCAGTGTGTCTCTCCTTCGTCTTGTCCTTCTGCAGTTACAAAGCCAGGATGACATCTATACGGGGCCACTTCCCTTAAACGGAACTCTCTTCTTGACAAGGTGAAAAAACCATTCTCAAAATACTTATACTGGCATTTTTCTGAAAGAGACAGACAAAATTTCTTGCAAGTGAAATACTGCTAAACTGCATGCTTATTAATCACAGCAGAAGGAAGACAAAAGCAGCAGCATTCTAGGACTTAGGCCATTTAATTTTAAGAACACATGAAGTTTTGCTTTGGCACTGAGCTCTCTTCTTGGGGGACACAAACGGGGATAGACAGGGGTTTGATTCGCAGCAATCCTGCAAGCTTCCCAAACTTCATGTCCACATCTGGTCTTCACTAGAAATGAAACTCCTGTTGGGCCTGCACAGCACTGTGCATGCACGGAGAGCACCTCCTGTCCATACTGCAAGGCAGGGGCACAGCACTGCAGTGGGCAGGTGTCACCTCAGTCCTGCCACGGAGAAGTAATTCTGAGTGCACAGACTGCAGGACCAAAGCAAATCTCTACCAAAGGCCCCCTTCTTACACAATAAAACACTAGTGCAGACAGACCCAATGTTGTAACCAGTTTCCTGTCACTTGGAATACATTCTTTAAGCCATTTAATATTACCTAACCATTAATGTTTAATATATTGTTTGCTACCTCATTAATTTAATCTATTGTTTATAGAGAATGTTTGATCCATTGTTAATATATAATGTTTAATACATTTTTTCAATGGATGGAAATCAGTTGCCTTGGTTGGTAGTTTTGGCCTTGTATTCTGAAAGAAAACACACACAGAGTATTAAATTCTTTACTACTTAATCATTCTGTCAAGGAGTGTCTTCATTTGAAGAAATTAACCCTACAACAAATAGAAATATTTTCATACTAGAGAGCCAAGTAAACAAAGATATAAAAACCCCTAAAATCCAAAGCACTTTGAAGAACAC